AGAGAGGTCAGCCAAGTGGTCCAAGACTCAACACCTGGTTAGGGGCAGAGCAGAGCTTGAATCACACCATGTTTCCTTAATCCAGGACAGTTTTTAAATCAATTTCAACACACATTCTTGCCTAGACCAACCAGTAAGTGAAAGCAACAAACACTCTTTGAGCTTTTCTAGATGCTTTCATATACATTTCTAATAATCAATAATTTTCTGATATAGTTATTACCCCCATGTTTAAAATCATGGGGAAGAAAAAGCTTGGAAACATTCAGTTATCTGCCCAAAGTCACCCATCAAGAAGGGAGCGAACTGAGCTTTCAACTCCAGAGCCTACATTCAAGAAACAGGACTATGTGGGAGAAGGAGAGGGTGGGATGATATAAGAGAATAGTATTGAAACATATATTACCATATGTAAAATAGATGACCAGTGCAAGTTTGATGCATGAAGCAGGGCCCTCAAAGCTGTTGCTCTGGGACAACCCAGAGGGATTGGGTGGGAAGGGAGTTGGGGGCGGGGTTCAGGATGGGTGGACACATGTACACCCATGGCTGAGTCATGTCAATGTATGGCAAAAACCACCACAATATTGTAAAGTAATTAGCTTCCAACTAAAATAAACTAATTTTAAAAAAATAAAATCATAAACAAAAAAGAAACAGCAATGATTTTGATATACCAAGTATCAGAGCTACAGCTAGCATAATGCAGGAACCCAAAACCTATATTCCAGGATCTCTAGATGCCTTTTGTGATGACAGCCACACAGAACATGCAGTGGATCCCCCTTACAACATGAAATGATAATACATCTTCCAGTGACTTTTTCTGCAGACTTTATATTTTGCAACCTAAAACACTATCTTCTAAATATTTTGCATTTATATCACTTGTGACTTATCAGATCTCCTTAAAACATTGTCAAGACATGAATTCTGAAAGATTTCACCAAACTAATGTATTATATTCCAGGGTTATTTATTTATTTGCAATTTGGGCTTCCATATTTGAAAGACAAATTTATTAAGAGTTACTCACTATGAAGTCAGTCAGAAAGAGAAAGACAAATCTATATTAACACATATATATAGAATCTAGAAAGATAGTACTGATAATCCTATTTGTAGGGTATCAGAGGAGACATAGACATAAAGAACAGAATTTTGGACATGGTGGGGGAAGGAGAGGTTGGGATGATTTGAGAGAATAGCCTTGATACATATACATGACCATGTGTAGAATAAATAGCCGGTGGGAATTTGCTATATGATGCAGGGAACCCAAAGCCAGTGCTGTGAAAATCTAGAGGGGTGGGATGGGGAGGGTGGCAGGAAGGGGGATCAAGGAGGAGGGGACATACGTATACCTAAGACTGATTTATGTTGATGTATGGAAGAAACCATCACAACATTGTAAAGTAATTATCCTCTAATTAAAATTTTAAAAAAGGAGCTACTCACTAAAAGTATAAGTATTGTTAAAAGCTTTAGGTCATTTGCGATAGTAGGCGGCATAAGCTGTGGGGGATGAGAGATGCACCAATGGAATTCACTTGCTTGTTCATAGCCAGGTCTAGAGTTTGGCCTTGATCATTTCTCACCGGAGGGTATTCTCATTTGCTATGAGTGATAGCATGCTTGTTAGTCAACAATCTGAAAGGCCATAATAGACAGGGCAGCCAGGGCCAAACACATGGAGAGACCCACGTGTCCCGGCTGCTCTCTGAACAGAGCTCTGGATGGAGACAGAGTGTGCATGGCAAACAGGCAGATGGAAGAACCCAGTCAGTGCCAGAACCAGACTCATAAATCTGCCAGTGTGAGAGGTGGCTTCCAACATGGGCTGGTGGCCTGGCAGGGAAGCAGAATCTCGCCCGCCTCTTTTCCCAAGCAGAATCAGGCCTGTATGAAACTATACGACCCAGGGATGGAGAAACAGTACCCTGTGTGTGATCAGTGAAATGAACATCCATGAGGCTCATCCACTGGGATCTGAGAGCTGGATTCTTCCATCAGCAACCTTTATGTCCATCACAGTCTGAACTGAACATCAGGACTGTTGTCCTACCTTTAACTTATAAAATGACCCCCTTCCTTTCTTCCTTCTTTACGTAAACAGTATTGCTTAATATACTAAAAGTATTATATCAGTAACTATATAAGTTATCATATATTCTAGTTCTGATTTTTTTCTATTTCATATCTCAACTCTGACTTGAATATTGTTGACCAATAGTATCAATTCATATACTGCTTATCACTGCTGACACAAGAGTCTTAGGACATTTTACTTATGGATTATTTGAGCCCCATACCCTTTCACATGGCAAGTTTTGTTTGGTGCACCTTGGAGTGATTTTGTTTAGATTTGTGTGTGTGTGCGCGCATGCCTCTGTACACATATATGTGCATTTTTTTAAAAAACAAGAATATGTTATGTGTAGATCTTCACTCACATTTTCTATTTTGTCTCTTGTGTGAGTGTGTATGCTCAATCACTCAGTTGTGTCCTACTCTTTGTGACCCCGTGGACTGTAGCTACCAGCTCCTCTGCCCATGGAATTTTCCCAACAGGAATACTGGAGTGGGTTTTGCCATTTCCTCCTCCAGGGGACCTTCCCAACCCAAGGATCAAACCTGTATCTCCTGCATTGGCAGGAGGATTCTTTACCACTGAACCTCCTGGAAAGCTCCAGATGTCAGGATAGAGATCTGTATAATATGTTGTGGGAACAATGATAAGACAGGGTCTCCCTTTTCCTGAGGGGACCTGGCAAAGGTTTGGGGAGAGTCATGACATTTTCACTGAGTCTGGAAGGATAAATACTAAAAATTATTTTGCCTTCCTTATAGTCTACCTCATTAAACCTGTATTCCAAAAAACCTTCATTAATCTGATATGCTTAATTCATTTAACACTGAATAACTGCTATGTGCCTTACACTGGGCTAGGCCCTAGGGATATAACCAGAATAAGACAGGCAGGACATCCTATAACAAGGAATAACAATGATAGTGTGTACTCATTTGTGATAGGAATAGAAAGGAGAAACATAAGGTAAGAGATTCATATACAACAAGAATGCTTAAGCTAGGCTCTGGGAGTAGAGAACACACCCTCAAGGAAATGCTGTTTCATTACCCGACCATGCATGAATTTATCCCCATCTGTTCACTGAGATGAAGAACAGTAATGCAGTGCCATCATTCCAGTGGGGACAAACGAAGCCTTGTGGCTCCTCATTTTGAGAGAGATAAGTCTAACGAGAAAAAAAGGGAAAGCTGAGTCCTTAAAGCTATTCAAATATTTTTACCTGAAGGAGCATTAATGCATTAATTCCAAAGGATGTCACAAAATATTCCTAGACATATGCAGAGAGCACTTGCCAAGGTGATCCATGCTGTCCCATCATGTGCCTGTCTGACCCTGAACTCAGTCTATTCCTGCCAAATTTTCATCCCATTCTGACTTGGTCATAGTTCTACTACACCAATCTATCTTGTACTTTAATATCATCTAAGGTTTTCAGTGTTTAAAGCATATTGCATTTGTTTTGTTTTCTGTGTCATATATTAAACACAAATTCAACAAGTATTTTACTGGCTCACTGCTGAGTAAAAGTGTAGCATTGAAGACAAAGGACTCCAGAGACAGGTTTCCTGGCTTCAGAACTAAGACTTGTGATGAACTTGGACAAATTATTTAACCCCTCCATGCCTTAGGTGTCTTATCTGTACAAGAGGATAACAGTGTCTACTTGTTGACCACCTGCTAGAGTTGCTTCAGACACTGCGTGGCCAAATCCCTGAGACTGTCGAGTTTCTCTCTCAGATGAAGGGGGAAACATCTGTAGATGATTCCAGTTTTACAATTCTATCACTTAACTTCCACCATTCATGTGCCATTCATTATGTTGGCATCTTTATCCATCTAAATAGATATTCTATAATGAAAGGAGTAATATAAGGCATTAGTCAGTTCAATTCAGTCGCTCAGTCGTGTCCGACTCCTTGTGACCCCATGAGTCGCAGCACACCAGACCTCCCTGTCCATCACCAACTCCCGGAGTGTACTCAAACTCATGCCCATCGAGTCAGTGATGCCATCCACCCATCTCATCCTCTGTCATCCCCTTTTCCTCCTGCCCCCAATCCCTCCCAGCATCAGAGTCTTTTCCAATGAGTCAGCTCTTCGCATTAGGTGGCCAAAGTACTGGAGTTTCAGCTTCAGTATCAGTCCTTCCAATGAACACCCAGGACTGATCTCCTTGAGGATGGACTGGTTGGATCTCCTTGCAGTCCAAGGGACTCTCAAGAGTCTTCTCCAACACCACAGTTCAAAAGCATCACGCTCAGCTTTCATTATAGTCCAACTCTCACATCCATACATGACCACTGGAAAAACCATAGCTTTGACTAGATGGACCTTTGTTGGCAAAGTAATGTCTCTGCTTTTTAATGTGCTGTCTAGGTTGATCATAAGTTTTCTTCCATGGAGTAAGTGTCTTTTAATTTCATGGCAGTAGTCACCATCTGCAGTGATTTTGGAGCCCCAAAAAAATAAAGTCTGTCACTGTCCCCACTGTTATTGCCACATAATGAAGTTAACAATTTATTGTGATGTGTGCATATAATGCCCTGCTGGGCACATTGGCTGTCCCAGTCATTCCTCATCACTGTAATACACACATTCAGTTTAAAATATTCAAGACAGCATGAGTGAGCTTTTTCATTCATTCTCTTATTCAGTTTATTATTTCAACTTATGTTTTATATGACTTTAGAATTTAATATTATACCTGAAATCTATCTGAAATTATCAGTTGTCGCTTTCTCTAATTCTTTTAAAGAGTTGTCTGCAAACTGCTATTTAACTCTCCGTCTCTCCAACATAGTTTTTTAATACAATTGTGAAGCCTCAGAGGTTTTCAGTTTTTTTAAGCCACTGGTCTCTCTATCAGAAAGCTCTCCAACTTGATAATTCTTTAACATTCCTTCTCCAGATTTTTATTGGTGAGATATCCATGTATTTCATAAAGTCAACCAGAGAATCTCTGATTGCCCAGGAGAAAACAATTCTGACTGGAGAATGCTGTTACCTGAACCCCTTACTCCGAAGGATCATAAGATTCATAGGTGAGTACAAGAGGATGTTATAAAAGCCCTCACTTACAGGTAAAACTTACTAAAAATGGACATACTTGATAAAATAACCTAAGCAAAGGAAGCACCAACTTTAAAAGCAAAGGTTGTTTTAGAGTTTTTCTAGGAAGTGCAGAAATTGTGCCTGACCATGGTGCCAACTCAAATTTTTCATCCTTAAAGTGAAGCAATACTTACTAAAGTGTTTTACAAAAGATTTCAACTTTTTTCCCACACTATATTTATCTGAGATTCCCTCAGGACATATATTTTAATATTGACTGGATATTGCCATATACTCTTTAGCTGAGTCAGGCAAGGGGGTGGGCCATCAGGGAACACCAATAAAATGAACTTAGAAATAATCAAATTTCCTGAAAAAAAAAAAAGTTTCCTACCTAGTAATTCTGTTATGCAGGGAACTTTTAAAAGTACGGGAAATCACATCCATCAGTTTCTTGAAAATCATGCCTTTCCAAAGTTGGAAAACAAAGAGTTTTACTAGTGTTTATGACAAAGAATAATTAAGACACTTTCTATATCCCTCCTTCTAGGGCTTTTATAAAAATTCTGAGGAGATATGGATAATGATCACAGATATAGGAATGAATGTGTATATGGGTAAATGTGGGAATATAGATCTCACAGAGTTCCTACAGAGTGAGTACTCAGTAAATAATTATTAGTGTTCTAATGAGACCTGCAAATTATCTACTGGCCAGGTGCTTGTGGGAGCCAAGATAAAACTCTGAACATATCAATATGGTGTTAATACAAGTCATGATACCATTTAGAACATAGGGAACTGACAGCTGAGAAGGTGAGGTCCAGAAGACACATGCTCTCTACTCCTTTGATTATTCTTAATCCTTTTCTTCCTATGGAAGAAAGGGTTCAATTTCCTCGAGTCATGAGCAAAGGATCACAGCACAATCAAATATGCCGTAAATTCATGCACCCCTATGTTCATTGTAGCACTATTTATTAATATGATAGTCAAGGCATGAAAACAACCTAAATGTCCATCAACAGAGCAATGGATAAAGGAGGTGTGGTACATATATACAATGGAATATTACTCAGCCATTAAAAAGAATGACATAATGCCAGCAACATGGATGGACCTAGAGGTTATCATACTAAGCCAGAAAGAGAAAGACAAATGCCATGTGGTATCACTTACAAATGGAATCTGAAATACAACACAAATGAAATACCTATGAAACAAAAATAGACTTACAGATACAGAAAACGGACTTGTGGTTGCCGAGGTGGGGAGGGTGGAGGCAAAGACTGGGAGTTTGGAATTAGCAGATACAAACTATTATACATAGGATGGATAAACAACAAGGTCCTACTGTATAGCACAGGGAACTATAATATATCCAATATCCTGTGATAAACCATAATGGAAGAGAATATGAAAAGAATATATATGTGTGTGTGATATGTGTGTATAAATGAGTCACTTTGCTATACAGCAGAAATTAAACAATAGTATAAATCAACTATACCTTAATAAAATTTAAAAACTATATGCAGTAACTTCTAACATTGGCATGGGAGTGAGGGAAGTAGTAGAGTGGGAGGCCTAAGAAAATCTAAAAGAAGCAACCCTTAACATTCAAATAGTCTTCGGCATTTACTGATATTTGCAGAATGACCTGTGGGAATCTGCAATAGGCTCACTGGGTTTACCCTGATCCATATGATGTCATCACTATTACTCATTCCAAACAATAGTGTCTTTCAAAGACATCCAGAATTTGGTCACTTGTTACTAGAGTGGCTTCAAGGAAAAAAGAGGAGAGGAGAGAATATTTATTATACAGAGCACTGGACTAGTCACTTTATAAAATTTCTTTGATCCACCCAACACCCTTTAAGGTAGATTATAGTTCTAACTGTGCAGACAAAGAAGCTGACATAAAGTGGGATAAAGTCACTGTTCCCAAGGACTATGAGTGTGTGTGTAAGGCTAATAATACCTATACTGTGAGCATGAAAAATATTATGATAAAGAACTTGATATCCAGTTTTTAAAAGATGATGGTAATCATTTACTTTTAACTTTTCATTGCATGACTTTGCTTTCAATGGGTTCAGTTACTCACAGTCAGCCATGGTCCCAAAGGCTCCAGAAATAATTCCTAAGTTTTAAATCACTCTCAATTCTGAGTATGTTGAAATCTTGCACCGTCCTGCTCTGTCATGAATCTTCCCTCTGTCCAAAGAGTCCCACCTGTCTGTCGGTCACTTAGCGGCCCTCTGGTTATCACTGACATCATTATATCACAGGGCTATATTCAGGTAACACTTACTATACTTAATAATGGCCTCAAAGTGCAAGAGTAGTGATGCTGGCAATTTGGATATGCCAAAGGGAAGCCATAAAGTACTTTAAGTGAAAAATTAAAGGTTCTCAGCTTAATAAGAAGAATCATATGCTGAGGTTGAACAGTAAGAACAGATCTTTTGTTTGTGAAATTATGAAGGAAAAAGGAATATGTGCTAGTTCTGCTGTCACACCTCAAACTGCAGTTACAGCCACAGTATGTGGTAAATACTTAGTTAAGACAGAAAAGGCATTACATTTGTACAGTAAGATATTCTGAGAGAGACTATATTCACCTTTTATTACTGTAAATGTTCTATTTTGTTATTAGTTGTTAATATCTTAGTGTATCTAATTTATAAATTAAACTTTGTTATAGGTATGTATGTATCAGAAAAACATGATATAGCATTTGGTATGATCCATGCTTTCAGGCATCTACTGGGGGTCTTGGAATGTATCCCCATGGATAAGGGGGACTCTTGCAATTTGTGATCCCTTGGAGAGGAGGGACTGTATCTTTCTTGCTTTGTATCAATAGCATATTGTAAAATGCCTGTCACATAGTAGGTTTTCCATAATTTTTCTGGAGGGGTAAAGAGCAAAACTAAACTGTGTTAAATCACAGATTTACCTAAAATTGCTTTCATAAATACTGATTCTTAAATATTCATTTGCCACCTGTTTAATTAACTTTTGGGACGTCCTGGGTGGCTCAGATGGTAAAGCGTCTGCCTTTGCGGGAGACCCAGGTTCAATCCCTGGGTCAGGAAGATCCTCTGGAGAAGGAAATGGCAACCCACTCCAGTACTCTTGCCTGGAAAATCCCATGAACTGAGGAGCCTGGTAGGCTACAGTCCACAGGGTCGCATAGTCAGACATGACTAAGCAACTTCACTTTCACTTTCTAATTAACTTTTTACCTCTCTTAGCTTAGTTCTGGAAAATTAAAGTATATAAATAAGGCAATTTCTAAGAGAAATTCAAAAGTCTATTCTGACTTTTCATATAGGAGAGGTGAACGTGAAGGGAGGGGTTTATCTTGAGATGGGTAATTTTGTCATAGTATCTGTGGATTTTTTTAATAAGAGTTTTTCTTATTTTCTTATTCAAGCATACTACTTGAAATGAAGATCCTTTAAATGGAGATGTTTCCTTTGAAAAAGTTAAAGTATAATGAGGTATTAATCAAAATGTATTAGAAATATTATTGTAAGTTGCTTAACAGTCTTTTCCTCTAGTCCAAGAGCCTGCAAAGTGTATACTATGCAATTGATATTAGAAAATGATAACTATTCCTATAAGCTGAAATGGCATGACTCTGCTCTTGCAGTTTATATAATTATCCTAGAACCCATTACAAATAGTGTTTCCTAACAAGTACAATCAGTTTCACATTGCAAAAATAGCCAATGAACTAGCAAAATATTTTTAAACAAAATAATGCTTTATTCTATCACAGATGAGAAAAAACTTGGGATTCTAGTACATTTCTAGTGAGGGTAAGTCGACCCTTTCTGCACAGCAGTTTGACAGTATATTTCAATAGCCTTAAAATAATCATTCTTTTTAATTCAAAAGTCTATTTTAAATAATCTATCCTAAGGAAATAATTGGAAATATAAATCAATTTTTATGGACTAAAATCATTAAATTTTAAGTGAGAAAATGGCAATGGCCAAGTCAAAGGGAAAACTTTCAAATTAAGCCATCTTGTCCTACAGACAAATGCTCACTGTGTTGACCTTGACAGAAAGGATTGAACTCCTCTGATTCCCAAATCCAACAATAACTTTTTTTCCAGGGTCCTCATTATAAGGAAGATGAAACACCTTCACAGATATAGAAAACTTGTGATTACAAAAAAGGAAATGTCTGGGAGTAACAGATATATACCACCATGTATAAAGTAAACAAGGATTTACTGAATAGCACAGGGAACAATATTCAATATCTTGTAATAACCTATTAACAGAAAAGAACTTGTAAATACATATATATAACTGAAACACACTGCTATACACCTAAAACTAATGCAATATGATACAACTCTACTTCAACAAACAAAAAGAAGTCTCCCAGGCTTTAGCTGTAAACCCTCAGAGTTAACTTCTGTACTCATTTCCAAACTACTATATAGTTTCTCACACTGTGTTACATGACGTGGTGGGAAGGGAGAAAACGAATTGACTGAACGAACAAATTTGACCAACCTTTTATCAAAGCAAATGTTGTCAAATTAACAACACTTATTTAGGCTTCTCCCTTCCATTTTTTCCTCTCCATTGCTTTCCCTTCCTATACCAGTTCTTTTGGTATGCATTAAACTGAACAACAATACACAGGTTTAAGTTCTAAAAAGATATAAACCTCTACATTCTCTTTTCAGAAACAAAAACTAAGGAAGTCATATTTAAATTCCTTTCATTCACAAATATACTTGAGTAAGCATATCTTATAAATATTGATTATTAAATAATAGAGCTTTTTTGTTTAAAACTGAAAAGTATGGATAAAAAATATTAGAATTTGATGAGGGTTTCTGGTTTATTTGCCTTCTTAAATAACTTTCTTTTGGGTTAAAGAAAAAAACTGATCCAAATATACCAAGATTATATTGTCTATTAGCACCTAAAATAGACTGTCATCCAGAAGCTAT